AACAAAACACCTCCTATTTCTCAGGCAATCAAGTTACTAGAGGATATGTTCCACCAAGATGGAGTCAACCATGAAAGAGGAAGAAATGACCAGGAATATATAGGAACTGTAACACAAATGAAGGGAATCCCCAGGATGACAACTGGGCCTCCTACTTAGAGAGCAACCAGTCTAGATTTTCGTAGGTCAGAAGGTTCTGGGAAAGACTTTATAAGGGTGAACAATTTGAGTGAGATTTAGATAACCAATAAAGAGTTTGGGGTTGAATGGGTGATAAATACATGGAAAACTAAGCAAAGGAGACAATTAAACGATGTTGTATGAGAAAGAAAAAGTTAATAAAAGCTTCCTACATGGCTCAATTGTGGAAAGTTTCCACATAATTCCAATAATATAAACTATTGATCTAGCCGAAATTATGGCATGGCTATATTGGAAAGATGGCAGAATGGGAAGAACACGTGTGTAGGGAAGACAGAGGGTGGGAAAGAGCCAAATCCTCATCCTCCAAAGTGGAGAGTCAACAGATAATGCTAAAACTGAAAATTCACCAAGCAGTGCATCATCTAAAATCAAAGGGGTGCCTTTGAGAATGGTGTCTGCTATTCTTTATTTAATAACACACATTGTAGAATTGTTTGATTCTTAAATCTATGTGCTTGTATGTACAACTTTAATAAAAATAACAACTCCCTGTACCAGCCAGCCACCAACAAAATAAATTAAAATAAATTAAAATTTTAGAAAATAAAGGAAAATAAGCAATAATTTAAAAGCCCTTGTATCCATCAGAATTACAAATGTCCTTTGACCAGCAATGCTACTTCTAGTAATTTATCTTATAATCAGGCAAAATTATGGAATACAAGGTTATTCATTACAGCATTGTTTATAATAATTGATTGTGAAAAAACAGGGTTTGATTAAATAAATTGTTGCATTTATACAAAAATACTATTTAGCCATGAAATGGGAACAAAAAGCTCTTTATGTACTGATAAGAAATCTCAAAGATAAACTACTTGAAAAACACAATTCAGAACAGTGTGCATGTATGCTATAATTTGGGTAAAAAAGAGGTTAGAATATATAAATATACATATTTCTACAAATATTCCTGGAAAGATACTTTTTTTAAAAAGGTAAATAATATTGGTTATTGGGTGGCTAGGAGACAGGGGTGGAGAAAAACTGCACTCTAAATCTCTTTTATGCTTTTTGTAAATGTAAATGTGATATTTATTCAAAAAATTCAATAATGCTAATAGCCGTTGTTACGGGAATCCTAGTGAGAGCGCTGATGTGCGTGTGAGGAGAGCAGGAGTGAAGGCTGAGAAGCGATTGCTTGGTTGATCCAATGTGGAGGAGAGGGAAAGGAGGTGTCTAGCATACCTCCCTTGTTCCTGACTTGTACAGCGGAATAGATTGTGATGCCATTCCCCAGTAATGGGAATTTGGGAAGAAGACAACAAAAATGAGTCAATTTACTGTGTTTGAGGATAACCCAGCTGGGGATATCTAGCAGGCATTTGGATATGTGAAGCTGAAGTTGAACAGAGAGGCCCATGTTTAGATTGTAAATGAAGTCAGAGAAGTAAATAGGACTGTCAGGGAGAGAGTATCAAGTGAGAAGAGGTTGCAGCTGAGCACCAGTAGTAAGAGACCCTTGGAGGTAGCTTGAGATAAAGTGGCCAAACGTGGCCTGCTGCCTAGTTTTGTAAAATACAGTGTTATTGGAACACAGTCACTATTTGTTTACATGTTGTCAACAGCTGCTTTCATGCTGCAAGAGCAGACTTGGATAGTTGTGACAGAGCATACGGCTTACAAATCCAAAATTATTTTGTATCTGGCCCTTTACGGAACTAGTTTACCAACCCCAACCTAGACTGCTGCAGCAGACCCTGTTGTGCAATGAGCAGGACTTTCTGCCTTTGGCAGTTCATCCTGGGTTGCCTGGATAATGAGTTAGCTGTGGCTGGGGTTTCCCACTTCTCCTAGGGAAGGGGCTGCACCCAAGCTAAGGTTCCCATGGGACCAGTGCCTTCTTCACCCCATCAGTGGAGATTGTAACATTCTATGGACAGCTGGCATTCCCAGATAACTCCTGTGAAACATAGGCACCCCAAATCCAGACTACCTGCAGCTAAGCAGCTTGTGTATTCCCCCATTCACAAGACTGCTTCTTCACACTTGCCCTATAGAAATGGGAACTGGTGGGGGATGTGTTCTTAATGAGACCAAACAGTGCTCTGGCCATCAGCTCACCTCTCCATGGGAGGGGGATGGAGGGTCTGTACCTTTTTTCTGGCTGTCTTGTATGTTTTTATTTTCTCCAGTAAAACCCATTCCTTATTAACCCATGTTCTGTGGCTTTGTGAAATTCACCCTGAAGGGTAGTGCATGAGAGTTGATAACCCAGAGGAGACCCATCTTGCATGCCACTGGGGACCCCAAAGGTACCCACCTAGCACAACAGCCTCCTAGCTGATCTTGCATCCATATTGACCCTCTTCCAATGTATTCTTCACCCTGCAGATAGAATGGTTCTTTCTAAACAAACCTGTCCTGTCACCCACCTTCCCCCAACAACCCAGTTTAAAACACTTCAATAGTTTCCTGTTGGTCTTAAAATAAACCAAAATACCAAAATCTTTACTATGGCTTAATGAGACCCAACATGACCTGGCCACTGCCTCTCTCCAGCCTTATCTCCCACCATTCTTCCCTCTCTGAAGTCCATCCAAACATTTTCTCAGTCACTTGTAGTAAACATGTTCCCTGCTGCTCCTGCACATTCTGTCCGTCTGTCTGAAATGCTTTGCTTTGCCTAATTAATTCCAACTCCAAATCATGTTCCTAGAACATCATGAAATTTAGCTGAAATTTTATATTTATCTGTATTTCCCCACCAGAGTATAAGATTCAGATGTCTCTTTTTGGTCATCAGTGGCCTAGTTTATATTTATTGTGCCTGCCATAAAGTGGGTGCTCAATAAAATTAGTTGAACATATTTTTAGGTATAATATAGAAAGAAGCCAGGCCCCAAATACCACATGCTATATCATTCTATTTCTGTGAAATGTCCCGTAAAGGCAAATCTGTAGAGGCAGAAAGCAGATTAGTGATTGCTAGGGGCTAGGGGTGGGAACAGGGAGTGGCAGTAAACTGGCACGAGCGATTTTATTGAGGTGATGAATATGTTCTAAAACTGTACAATTCAGAAAGTTTACTAAAAACCATTGTACAGTTAAAACAGGTGAATTTTGTGGTATGTAAATCATATCTCAATTAAGGTGTTTAAAGAACATAGTTGACTAGATAAAGAATATAGTTACTATTGGAAATGGGACTGTTGAAATGAGCAGGACTGAAACCATGTTGGGACCTAAAACCACATGGGTTCTGAAAGATTTTAAAAGGACATAGTTTTTCTCTTGGCATGCATTTCTCCGAGCTCCCTCTTTTCCCATGGTTATCTGGTATTTTGAATCTTGGTTATGGGGCAAAATGACATTATTTACATAAATGTAAAGTTGTTTTCCAGCCAGCCTGAAGCTGCAGACTTGCACGTACTATCCAGACCTAAGAAGACATCAATAAAGCTGTGCTGATTCCATCCCCCTCCAGGACCAAAATAACAGCAAGGATGGGAGCAGAAATGAGATGGAGGCTTGGCAAGAACTTGCACCTGGCTCCTTGCACAAGCCCACATCTCTCTCCCTCCTGCTTTTCAATTCCCACGTCGTGTTCCCTCAAGCCCCTCTTAAAAAACCCCTCAGTAAATCTGTCTTTGGCCATTCTGCGTTAGCTTAACATCTCTCCTCAGGTCACCAGTATTCCTGAATAAAAGCTGACTTCCATTTTCACCAACATTTGACCTTTGAGTGGTTTGGTTTTGAAAGGGGGCATGCAGCAGGACATGTGCCCAATAACAGGACCTTTATCTTGTGCTAAATGTGTACACGTTTCTAGACTTTGCATTCTATACACTCATCCTATACCATACATTCTAAAGTATTGTTCATGGATATATGTTTTAATACCTGATTATTTTTAAAAATATTTTTTCTGGATTTTTAATTTTGTGGGTTTTTTTTTTTTTTTTTGGCAGCTGGCCAGTAGGGAGATACATGGATTTTTCTTAATCCCTGATTTGAAATAATTAGGTTTGATATGTTACAAAGTTCCAGGAGTCTCTATATACCTCTAGGGTAAAGAGAAATAGGTACAAGAAGCTTCCCTTGTGACATAAGCCAGCTGAAATCAGATTTGGGACTCCTGGGAAGTACATGTGCTAGGGATCAAGTGTCCTTGATACATGAGGACATTTGTAAGACCGAGCTAGATATTTTATGACTGATCTGGATTTGCTCTGATTTCGGAAATAACATGTAATATCTGAGATGGGAAAAGGTTTTAAAGGGAATCTGAATTTTTGGACTAATAACTTTTGTCCAAATGTCCACAGAAACAAAAGCTCCAGTACCTCTCCAATAGCTCTCTAATACTCCCGAGACCTTCTGGGTAAACTTGTCTGCTAAAACTTTAGTTGCACTTACCTGGAAGCAGACCTGAGAAAAGGATATTAGTGTAGGTATATAATTTGGGAGTAAGCAGCAGCAAGAGGGCAGGGAGAGTGAGGCAGGGAATGAAGAAACATTAATAGAAAGCAATTACCACTGCAGCCAATCCTAGTGCAGGAACCATGTAGAAGGAAGCTGAGAGCTGTTGCTCTGAGGATTGGAACACTTGTCAGCTGACTCCTGCTCCCTTTGGCTGAGGGTTGCCGTAGGAGCTTTCAGGGCCCTGGAGAAAGCCCTGAGGCCGAAAGGCAGAGTATGGGAGCTGCTTGGAGTGGGACTTGTCATGCCGCCTATAAATGTCCACCACAGCTGAGCTGATGTCAGAGGTGGCCTGAGGGGTATGACTCAGGGCTGCATCTGTCAAGGGGCATGTAGACAACTGGACATCTGATGACATACAATTCCCAGTGCAATTTTATATAAAGTTTTTTTTATTAGTGAAACATTTCATTGCATTAAGGGTGGAAGTAAACATGTCAAGAATCACATGAAATGCACCAACTGTATAAGCTACATGAAGAGCTTTCTGTTCAGTATTCCCTTTAATAAGCACAAGCAATTTACTCTAGTAATAATGGCCAGAGGGCCAAGTATGAGACTTACTTTTGTAGAATGCATATCTCGAGCAATTTAAATTAAAAATTAGCCTCCCTTAAGTAAAAACCCCAATAGGGGTTAGTTGTGTAGAACTTGTTCTACTCGACCATTAGTGATCTTTCTAGAACACAAGGATATAAAATCTACTGAGAAAAGCCTGGAACTAAAAGTGGCAAAGCCCATTTCCTGTACTGTGCTCAACTCCCAATTTTCCCTGAGAGAGGTGAGTTAAGCACTCTCTTGGTTTCTCCCCCTGTGAGTATCATGGTGCCTGCATTCTGTGATCGTGACACTGCTGACAATCACAAAACCTCTGGGGGTCTTTCCAAGATAATAGCTGCAAGAGAATGAGCGTGAGGAAAAGTTTATTTTCAACCCAAAACCCCATAGGGACATTCATTCTTCTCAACCAGTCTATTCTAATTGTGACTGCAGTTTACGGATTTACCACAGACTTCGGAAGGAAAATATCAAATGTGATTTTAAGCAAGCCACCTATTAAGAATCATGACATAAATATGGAATTAATATGTTTTGTCTCCCTGCCTGTGTGGGATTCAGTCTAAATGTGTATCCATCATTAACTGCTACCACTTGCCGTATATAAAAATTTCCTCCTCATAGATGATATATCCTGATAATAGGACTGAACCAATGAGTACACACTGGCTTATCAATTTTATTAGTGTGAATAAGTAGATGCATAAAGAATACGATGTTAAGTATTAATAAATTCCCAAAATTTAAATATTTAGCGTTATTGAAGACCAAATATTTTTTATTTTGTTTTTTACATTTTGCTGATTCAGGGTATGTAAAGGTTCTATCTCAATTTATAGAAAAGTTGAGAGCTTAATGAATTGTTCCTTCAAGAAGATAAACACACCATATATTGCTTTAGTGTAGAAAGAGAGAATTGGGGCATGTAAATTAAGGCAATTTATCACCTCCATACAGGGATCAGAAGCTATGTAAGTGGAAGCCATGATTTTTTTTCTTCATTTGCTTACACTGAAATTCAGTTTTGTACAAAAAATTTCTTAGAATGATTCAGTATTCTATAAGCACTTTGACAGATAGCTATATAGCCTTCTCAATTAAAAATGAATGAGAGAATCAAAGAAAATGCCCTTAAATATATTGAATTCTGAACACTGTGACATTCAATAGTTCCCAATCCTCTAACTTACATTACACTGAAAGCCAAGAAGTCTTTTAAAGAGAGGTGGTTCAGCTTCTGGCATCAGGGGACCTTTCTTTAAAAGCACTTTCTGTCCAATACTTTAAACACCCGTCCATCTGTCAGCAAAATGATTGTTACAGAAAATGTAAAGCAAATTTTTCTCTATTTTTCAGGAAGTGACAGTGAGCCACCAAAGGCTGAAAGGAACTGGATCTGAGGAAAGAACTTATAAAAATATTTCAAAGTTAACAAGGAAACTGCTCCAGAAGAAATGTCTCTTTACTGTAGTCAATCTGCCTGAACTTTATGTGTAACCTAGACTGTGGATGGATAATTTCCTATATTCATAATTTTACAAATAATCACTCGATGGTATTGTAATTAATACAGAATCATACTTGGCAGAGGTGACTGGGGGAAAAAATCAGTTACTGATTACACTCTCCCAGAAGCATCTTTTCACATCAAGATCATTTTCACTAAAAAATAACACTTAACTAACAACAAGTGTCATAACTAGCATTTAGTTCTACTCTATATGGAATATCTGAACTTATCCTCACCAACATTATTTATACGTTCTCCTGGTTCACAAAATACAAGTTAAAAATCATTAGGAGCTTATCACTATCAACTTAAGGGTACCACCCCACCCAATCCCCTCCTTGCTTGATCCCTACGTAGTATAAAAGTAGTCGGAAGTCTGAGTTATTTTCCTAAAGGAAAATGAACTGAAGATTAGCTTAAAATGCAATATGCAATGTTTTAAAAGAGGAAATCAGCTGCATTGGAATAATGTATTGAATGAGGATACCATTCTCCCCTGGGTTCCAAACTCTTATTTACTTCTGTTTTGGAAGTGAAATGGAGGAATACAACATAAAATATATCTGTGTATTTCGAGCACAAAATTCAGTGAAAGAAGCATACTGAATAAAAGACCAAGTAACATTAACAAGTAATGCAGAGACATTATACCTACAACAGTGGTCAAAATTTTGGAGCTACCAGCACCCAACAAAAAAAATTACTATACAAGTGTTTATTAAATAAACATGAAAAACAGTTTCAGAGACCACATGATTTTATAAAGCATAACAGCCAGCCATGTCAGCCTGCTCTTTAACCTCTGGCTGGGACGCCCTCATCACTTGCCAGCGCTGTGCCTTTTCCCTCCTTCCAACAGGCAACACGCCTGTGAGGACGCAGAGGGTCTCCCACGTTATGGTCCAAGTCCGGACAGCTCCCACGCTCCCTTCAGCAAGCTCAGATGATAGTTAGGTTCGTATGAGGGGCGCTCTTTCATCTGCCGTTCCCTGAGACACAGAGGAGAGAAGACAGGGAAGTTAGGTGTTCATGTCAGAAACTTCCCAGATGTGAAAAGCTGGGGCCGGGGAAGAGGGTGGAGGAAGGTGGAAGGAGGCGAGACTGACAGGAAGGTGGTTCATTCCACTCACCGCTCCTCTCTTGGCCTGCTTTGTCTTGCTCTTTCTTTTTTTTTTTTTTATTTGGCAGCTGGCCAGTACAGGGATCTGAACCCATGACCTCGGTGTTACCAGCACCACACTCTCCCAAGTGAGCTAACTGGCCAGCCCCTTTCTTAAAGATTCAGACTAACCTTTTTGAGGAGGTCTTCTCTGACCACCCTCCTCTCCATACTGTCTGTGGTGACCCGATTATAACACTTATCACACTCCACTGAATTTGCTCCCTTCCTGATTTGAAACCTACTAGAAAATAGTGTCTCAGAGGTAGGAGGTGCTCAATAATTGCTTGTTGAATAATACATGAAGATGGTTAACTGTAGGATCAGTAATTAACATTTCCATGAGGTTCCACTTGTACTTACAAAAATCTTAATGACTATGCAAAGTCAGATCTATACATATAAATAGCAAAATAGTTTGCCTGACAGCTAATTCAGGCTAAAGTGATCAGCATGGGTTAAGAGACATAATGGAAGCATGTGGGAGGCAGGGAAGTCCAAGCTAATATTACTTAGATGGTTTCAACCCTATTACATTTCCTACTTCACATTTGCTCAGATTAGTTTATGCAGCTAGGAGAAAAAAAATATGAGTTTTTTGTAAAAACGGAAGCTGCTAAGATTTTAAGAACAGCTTTTACAGAAAAGGCTCATTTAGACTCCTGGGTTGGACTGCCGGTCACTCAGGGAGGCCAACCTAACTCTGTTTATCTCATCCCTCCAAGAAAGTAACTTCTCCCATATGCCAATCATTTATTCTGCATTGTGCCTCAATCATAAGTATCTTCTGATACATCAGGGATTCTTTCCAAGCAGGCCTCTAGATGCCTTGCTCTATAATCTTGGAGTTGTCTTATCACATTTAATAATAACTAACGTTTACTGAGCTCTGACCATATACTAACACTGGGCCAAGTCGTTTATATTTACTACATCTTCTAATCCTCATGAAAAATTCATAAAGAGACTATTATTATCCCATTTTTATAGATAAAGAAACTGAGGCACAGTTTCTAGACTCACACAGCTGTTAAGTGGAAGAACTGGGATTTAAACTCAGGCTTTCTGACACCAAAGCCCAGGTGCTTAATTGTTATATATTTTTCCTCTTCTCCATATTATTGTTTTTAAAGATGTAAGGTTAGCTCCTAGAGGATGTAGGGGATTCCATTCCCACCAACGGTACCACTCTATCATCCCTCCTTCACTGACACATTTCCATAGCTTCCCATTTGGGGCAGCAGTAATATAGCCATGAAATCACCATGCCAGCATAAAACCCTAGAATCCATCCTAATGAGGCAGGTGACAGCCCTTCAGTGAGGCACAGTTGAGGAATTCCTCAGGTAAAGTTATCCAGAAAGGGAGATGTTTCTTCAGCTGGTACTCACCTCATCCATGGATCCCTGTTGCCCTCTGCACACAAGCCAGGTGAAGACCAAGCCAAAGAACACACCTAGCGCCATGATGATGTAGGGTATGTTGGTGACAATCAAAGTAGTGTTAATCACAGACTTGAGTCGACTCGCAGTCTCTTTATCAATTAAAACACTCTAGAGGGGCAAGAAAATAGTATTCCCTTGGTGACTAAATATCCAGGGTGTAACTTTTTTGCTATATCTTTCTTTCAAATTATCATAAACAATTTGGGTATGTCCCCCTGTTAGCAAACCAGATATACTGAAAATCCATTTACAAATTAGAGTAACCAGCGAGGACATTTATTTATTAATATCATCTCTTTTCTCCTGAAGACATTTACTACTCTTAAAATAGGTTCAATAAAGGAGGGGAAGAGTATTCAGAAATACTGAGATAATATCATCTTTTGTTTTGTATCAGAGAATTCCAAGTCATCCTTCAAAATCCAGTTCACCACTACTTCCTTCTGGTACTTTTCTCTGGTCACTCAGGCCTGGTGAAAGGTCCCTTCTCTAAGCTTCCATCTCACTGTCTAAAATCCTTCATCGTTGTCCTTGCACTCTGCATTGTAACTGTTTACTGTTTGTCTCCCAGGGACTGTAAGGTCCTTGAAGGCAAGACTTATCTCAGTCACCTCCACACTGGGTATAGCACCCAGTACTCAGTAGGTGCTCAATTAATGCTGGTAGATTAAATGAATGAATGAATGAAACACTCCAAAAATGGTATGAAGAAAGGTATAATTTCTCTTTTGGTTACATCTTAATCAGGACTGGAGGTCTCAAAAGAGTGTTCAGGGAAGTTGTGAGGCTACCAAAATTCCAGAGTTTTGCTAAGGAAATGTGCTAGAATAACACTTTTTGTATGCAGAGCAGAGGTATTAACACCTAGTGTCATGGGTGAGGTATCGGAAGAGCTTAATTCCGTAAAAAATACAACCAACAATTCTGGTTTATTTTAGGCTTAATTTGCAATAGACTGGGTAAGAAGATCGGGTTCCAGGTGGTTCTTCCAATAACTGGCCAAGGCCCCTCAGGGTTAGAGTTTTCTCCCCAGTAAAAAGGCGATGGAGACTAGTCAGTCAGCTTAGTTCATTAATATGTGGTACTTTTTTTTTTTGGTAGCTGGCCGGTACAGGGATCTGAACCCATGACTTTGGTGTTACAATGCTGCACTCTAACCATAGAGCGTGGTGCTGATGATGCCAAGGTTAAGAGTTCCATCTCCCCACCAACCAGCTCCCAAGAAAAAAGAAAAAAGGCAGTGGGGCAGTAGTCTCCAAGGTCACTTCCAGGTCTAATATTTTATTTTTCTAGAGAAGAGAAAAATCAAGCACTATCTAGGAGGCAGTAAAGCACAAGGTTTCACTCCATGTTCCTGGACTCAATCTAGTCTTTAACAAAAAGGAAAACAAACTTTGGGGACAGGGGTGGAGAGGATTTCGAATATGCCACTACCACGAACATAAACTGGAAAAAAAAAGGGCCCTTCTCAGTTTTCCAAAAGTCCTACTTTCACGCCCCTGCCCACAAACAATAACAGTGGTGATCCAGGAGCAATCACAAATAGGTCCTATAAATTGCTAAATACTGATTGAATTTTTCCTATGAAACAATAAAAGCCTCCTCTTGAAATTATAACTACAAACCCTTCAAAAGTTTATAAATGTGGCCATTAATACAATGCTAAATGAAGAAAATAATATGCAAAGCTGTATCTATAGTATGATTTCAACTATGTAACATCAAAACCAGAAAAATACCAGGAGATGATACCTGAAGATGTTACCTTGCTTGTCTCTGAGAGACAGGCCTGTCAGTGCGATACTACAACAGGAGATTTTTTAAAACTTTATCAAGAGTTCTATAAAGAGCACATGTTTTACAAAATGTAAAACATTAAATTAAATTATTTTTTAAAGCTGTCATTACAAAAATTTTACAACATATTGGGTAAAATAAAACGAATTAAAAACAATACATTAGACTGGCTTAGATTTTGTGAGTAGTGATTTTAATTTTTCCTTTTCTTGTTAATATCTATTGCTAAATTCTCCACAAAGCAAAAGTATTCTTAGGGAAAAGAGAAAAATAATTTTAAAAAATTTTAAATGCTGCTGTTAATGACAGAAATCTGCCCAATTGAGAATTTAATGAATGAGAAAAACCTGCATATTTTCCTCAAAACTAGGTAGAAGAGAAGGGGAAAATGAGGAGAAATAACTACAGTAAATGTGATATGTGATTTAGAAAAGAAGTTATCACAGGTGTCTTAAACTGGCAGGGTTTCAAAGGAGGAGGAGACCTGGAAAGGTGTAACTGGACATTGATCCGAGTGCTGGCTAGCTATCCTGCTTTAGCAGTGTCTGACAATCCTTCACTTTACCTCTGCATTTTGTTTCTTACAAAATCAGCTCCCCAGAAGGGAGTTTTGCCCAAATAATGTTCTTGACAAGAAAAATTTCTGTCAGTCATTTCTCCAAATCAACTCTCAGACACAGGCAGATTAACATTTAAGAGAAATTTTCTGAGAACAAACAGGCTGTAAAAAATTATCTTCCCCCTTTTCAAATCTTAACTTACACATCACTATAATAGTAGACAGCACAATGCAAGTTTTCCAACCATGGACAGCTGAAAGACACACCCGGCTCCCTCCCTCTCAGGACTTACCTCATTGAGATACATCACTGGGAAAACCATGGTTCTAATGTCTCCTGTTTCACTACAAAGACAAAGAATGAGATTATTTTACAGTTGCTCATCATCATGGCCCCACTCACCTGGAAAGACAAGGTTATATTGAAATTCCAGTACACCTACTTCATTGAATTACCCAGAATTTACTGCAGACTTCTTAGTTACTTTTGTAAACACATATAAATCAGAGGTTAGATTCTAATCTGTCGGTCTAGCAATTCCAAGTGCTGCACAGTTATGTAGTGTTTTTATCAAAACAGAAGATACTGAAAGCAAATTCATCAAAATGATGACTATCCTCCCTAAAGTCATCATGGAGAAGACTGCACCTGGCAGAACAATGCTGCCATTCCTTGGAATGTTCTGTAACTAGTCCACTTAAGTACTGTCTTTGCAACAAGAGCCACAGATTGCTTACCCTGTGCCAGCTCTGTGCTGGATGTTTTGGGGATGTTATCTCATTCAATTCTTACAACAGCCACATGTAGTACGTATTACAGGTTTACAGATGAGAAAATCATGGCTCAGAAAGGCTAGGTAGTTTTCCCAGGATCGCTGCGAGTCAGTGATGGAGTCAGGACTGTATTTCCATTTTGATTCTAAGGTTCCAGCTCCTAACGTCTAAATTATACTGCCTCAGAATACATATACGAGTGAAAAAATGCATTCTTGCAAACCAAGTTTGCTTTTAGATCTATGTGGGATTAAATCTGGCGAATTCAATGGGGGAAACAAACCAGCTTTTACTGATAAATAGATATAAGATACTATGTACAGTTTTGCATCCTTTTTTTTTCATTCAACATTATATCATAAGCATTTTTCTCATATCCAAAATGTTTCCATTGAAAAGTTTAAGCAGGAGATTATACTTAGAAATCTTAATTAAGTAGCAATTTATACATGGAGTGTGAGGAGGGAAGGCTGGACTCAAGAGACTACTTTAACCATCCAAATGAGAGCTTGTGTCTGGCCCCAAGAAGGAGCAGTGGGAGAGACGAGGAGATGCATCCAGAGTGATGGTGGTGAGGCAAACACTTAGCAGGGAAGATAAAAGCTGACTCCCTAGGCACAGCCTTACCAGCTGTGTGAGTTCCAGTGGGTTACTTAAACTTTCTGTGCCTTGATTTCCTCATCTGTAAAATAGGGGTAATACAAGGTTATGATTTAATCACTGTAAAGTGCTTAGAACAACACTGATCCATGGATAGCAATCTATAAGTGTTTGATAAATAAAACAAGTAAATTCTAAGACCAAGGCACCCATGAAAATGCTGATCATGTCCTGCTCCTGGAGGGCAGGAGCAAGCAGAGTTAAAAGAAGTACTCCTCCCAACACCAACCTCACCAGAAAATCAATCCAGCAAAATTACTCTCTGCCTCTGCAGAAAGAAGCGAAACTTACACAAAATCATCTAATTTTTTCACATAAATGTTGATTTGGAACCTCTTGGCTGCTCTTAGGATAATTCCAGTCAACTGTAAATCGGAGAAATGAAAACAAAATATTAGGATTTATTAAACTGCAAACATAATTTTTTCAACAGAGCACCGTTTCTGTGTGGTTCTGATAAACAGGGTGGTCATCACCACGTTTGACAGGCAGAGTGGGACAAGGGAAAACCGACTCCCAGAACAGCATGAGGACTATTGATCATGTCAGGTAGACCAATGCTTCTCAAACTTTAACATGGATGAGTCCTCGGGAAGCCCGTTAAAATCCAGATTCTCATTCAGTAGGTCTGGGGTGAGGGCCTGAGATAGCATTTCTAACAAGCTCCCAGGGTGCTGTCACAGTGAACGTCAAAGCCCTAGAGGACTCCAGCAGGAGGAAGATCTAACAGATACTCTGTCAGGTCTAAATATCCAGGTAGTTGTCCAGAGAGCTAAGAGAAGGACGGTGGTCACTTCCAGCCAGAGAACGGCATCCAAATGTAGGGCCCCGTTAACAGAGCCCAGGAGGAGCAGCCGAGGCAGCTGTCTTCCCACCGGAGCTCCATCTTTGCACTGAGACTATGGATCTGCTCTTATCCCTTCGTAACAAGTACCGCTCACAATCTGGCTGATCAAAGTGAACTGACTGACAGATGGCTAAGAGAGAAAGCTGCACCTGATCTTATTCACCAAAGAATAAGATCGCTGGTTTCTCAGAAACACATGCAATGAGCATAGCCAAGACTGGCGCACCCATACAGAGCTGCGCCAAAAGAACTTTCTTGCTTTTCTTTATTGTTCCGTGGTGTTCACAGTCACCAAAATCTTCACCTGATCTTTAGTTTAGTTTCTACAATGAGAGGTTCTCACAACGTGAAATGATATTTACATCCTTTTAGCATGATTTTAATTTTTGTCTTCTGTGAATATAGGATGAAAGAAGTATATATATCTGATACTTTTAAAATTAGTAATATAATAGGATAAACTCTCAAAAGTACCTGTAGAAAGAGGTTTGCCAAAAGTGACTGCAGCTAATATACATATTTAAATTTCAACCAGAATACTCCTGGCAGTGAGTAAGCAGAGGGACAACCTTCAGCCATACTGATCTATGCCCCAATGGGAGAAATGCATATATGCTCAGGTCCCAGGCTGGCAGCAGAAGCTTCACCAGGTTACATGCGTCCAATCTCATGTTTTGCCAATAACTGAATTTTCACTGTTGCTTTTTTGTTAAAGCAGGTTTGCTGGGTTCCTGCATATTAGATCCACAGAATTCATCCTTCTAATTACAGGGCTATGGGACTATGCCTCGACTAGCATCGAGCTAAGTTTCCCCTTCTTGAATGCATATATGAAAGAAAGATGGTATGTTTCTTATGTTCAGCACTAAACTACTGAACACTGTACAGAAAGAATAAATCACATGCTGTTTTACCAGAGAGAAGAGTGCACTCACAGGATTAATGTCCACAAATGTCTCATGATCTTCTTTATTTGGATGCATGCCATCTATGGCAGAAACAAACCTCTCATCTGCTTGGTAAAAGTGTGGGAAAGACATAATAATGGGTGCACCTGCATTTTAAGGAAAACAGAAATGAATGATGCTGTTCTTAAAATCTAAGTTCCTTCCTAACCACAAACCTAGTTCTAAAAGGCTATATATAAGCAAACTTTGGGGAGGGAGGGTTGGCAGACTAAAATACCATTCTATATCTCCTAGCTCATTTTCTGACATCTCATTTACCTCCACATTATTTTATTCCACATTATACAAGGGTACTTCAAAAAGTTCATGGAAAGATTCACATTATCTTTTAATTCTGTTTTTCCATGAACTCTTTAAAGTACCCTCTTATGTGAAAGTCCTGGCTAAATTATTTGTTCTTCAACAAACAATACTGAACCTATAAAGTATAAGTGCTTTATATACATTATTTTAATTAATGCTCCCAGCAGCCCTATGAAGTTAGACTATTTTTTGTTGTTGTTGCTGTTGAAGTTAGAACTATTATTCTCATTTTGCATTTGAAGAAACTGAGGTGCACAGAAGTTACAAAATCTGCTTAGGGACACCCAGTTACCAGGTTATGGAGGCAGAATTACACTTAATGAAGAATGTCGCATCTTAGAGAATGGTTTCAACTGCAATTCTCCACCAGTAAATGGATTGTCTTTTTTTTTTTCCTGTTTCTTTTTTTTTAAAATTGTTTTTACCAAGGATGGACTTTGTCCTCTGGGTATGTTTGTTTTTGTTTTTTTTTTGGCAGCTGGCCAGTACGAGGATCCAAACCCTCGACCTTGGTGTTATAACAC